ACTGCCAGTCTTTCCCTAACCTTTGCCACCACCAGGTAGTGGTCAGTATCACAATCTGCTGCCCTGAATGATCGGACATCAAGTATACTTGAGTACCGTCTCCTGTCTATCAAAATATGGTCTATTTGATTGTGTATCTTCCCATTAGGAGATGTCCAAGTAAATTTATGGATGTTATGATGTGGGAACATTGTACTTTTGACAGTGAGATTTTTTGATGTGGCAAAGTTTACAACTCTTAACTCCATTATCATTACTAATTTCATGCAAACTCTCATTCCCAATTGTTGGTCTGAAAATGTCTTCCCTCCCTACTTTGGCACTGAAATCTCCTAACAAAATTTTCTTAGGGTACTTCAGGAATTTATCAAATACATGTTCTAGTTCTTCAAAGAATCTATCCTTTATGTCATCAATTTTATCTTCTGTTGGGGTGTGAACATTCATAACAATATCACACCAGCGACCTTTTAATATTATATATGATATCCTATCACTAACGAATTTTATCCTCTTAACTGCTGATATGATTTTCTTATGTATGAAAAAACCTGTACCTAATTCATGATTTTCATTTCCCTTTCCATAGAAAAATGTATAGTCTCCTGCTGGTGTGATGCCACCTCCATCCCATCTGACCTCCTGTACCCCTGCTAAATCTTACCTTATATTTTAAGATTTCTTCTGCCACTGCCCTGAGCAAACCTGCCCTATATAAACTTCATACATTCCAAGTGCCAAATCTCATATCCATTTTCATTAGCTTAGGTCGTTTATCCAAGGAATCAGTCCAGGTCCGAGGTTTTGTGTTCATTTTCGTAACGATTTTTTACGGTGAGGAGTTGTTAGCCCCACGCCCAACCCCCAAGCTGGCGGGCCACCCCTTGTCGGCTGTCCACGACTGCTGATTCAATATGTTCACAGCTTCCCTCCAAAACTAGAGGGCATCTCCTCCATCCGCAACCTGAGGATGCACCATGCCGTGGTGACAAGGGACCCACCTAACATGGCAATATTGTGGTAGGGATGTGTTAGTATTGTAGGCAAGTACTGCATCTTCACACTTTTAGTGGGTAAAATGTAGAAACAAAACTTCATCTTACCTGCTTTCTCAACTAGTTACTCTACAAAATACCTAGCTAAAGGGTATGAAGATACCTGATTACACTGTACTTGCCATACGCTCACACACACATATCCAAGGAATGTACAGTAAAATTCAAGACTGCATTCTCTTTTGTACTGTTGTGCTTGGAATGAAATGACAAGATCCTGCATAATCCACACTCTATGGACCCAACATCTGGAAGAGCAAGTGCGAATTTTAACAGCTATTATGTCTACTGTAACTCTAGAAGAAAATTAAGCAGGCATATATGCAACAGAAAAATGCTGTCCTGAAGTTTCTCATAGCTGGGAAAGCCTCCAGTGTTGGAATTCATCAAGACTGTTCTGCGTTGTTCAAATACAGTATTCTGTCATTTTCTAGAGCATCTAAGGAAGGTTGGAAGTCTGTTGTTGCTGATACATCACACAGTTGCTGCTATCACCAACGCGCATGGACGTGTCATGGCTTGTATCCTAACAGGCAACTAAATATTAACTCAATGGCCTGACTGGAATATTTAATGGCTTCTGAGAAAAGAACCATGGATTGAAAAGTGTCTGCCGGATGTGTCAAAACAGCAGAAAACAAGCTAGAGGAACTAAAACAATAAAATGCAAAGTAAATCTAAGGGAAGGCATCATGGAGGACTGTAATTTGTGATGAAACCTGGGCACATCATTAAACCAGGAAAGGAAGATAATTTCACAACAGAAGCACACATGTTTACTTCAAAGAAATGTAGGTCAACAGTCCGCAGGTAAAGCCAGAGCCAAGCCATAGCAGTTGGCTCTGTCCAATGAACAATTAAAATCATGTTCTGTATGCAATATAATTAAAGTGTTCAAACATGAAATTATAATAGATACTGTCAAACACTGCCATAAAAAATTCTAGGAAATTTAAAGTGCTTTTTACTCTGTATTGGATTTTCTCTCATGCAAGCAGCATATTCATGTAATCAAGACATCACATTCACCATACAAACTGGAAAATGGGAAGTTTACTACATAATGGAGTCTACCATTTAACTGTAGTGTGTGCACTAAAATCTTCTTGTTGCTGACCATAATGATGGAGACAGAGAAGGTCCCTGAAACACGGTTTCTGATGCAGTTGACTGCCTGAGATTTTAATGGAGTTTATAATTTTTACTGACCGTAATCATGGCCCATACAGTCCATCTGGCAATGCGTGAAAATGTGTAGTGGTAGCACAGTATAATTCTTCCAGCTTGAACACCCAAGTACACAATGAGAATTGAAGTCAGAGTTCCCAGAAGACCTGAATAAATAAACATATATTACATCGTGAGTTCACTGTAATATTCAGTTCATAAACTATAAAAACGTCCACGATTTTTCAGTGCAGTGATACCCTTAATGTATGGAGCGGGTTTCTACATCGACAATGCATGTCTTGCATTTGGCACGTATCTGCAGTGAATACCAAGCCAGAAATGAGTTATCCTCACCAAAATATTTTTGAGGTTTTTCTCAGCCTGCTAAGCAGGACACTAAGGCCTCTTACACACGACACCACCATGGTCGTGCCACCATGAATTTTGGTGGCGCTTTTCCTGTCAGTGAGAATATTTTTTCTCAATACCAAATATGCCACCAGTCATAGATCAGTCTCAAAATGGAGTTGGAAGAGGGAGGGGCTTTAATCTTTTTGTTCTCCCGTTTGTGTAAACGGCGTAAAAACTGAAGTTTTGGGTACACCCAATCTTAATAGACCGATCAACGAAAGGTATTTTCTACACATTGTACACTGACCTTCGACAGAATCCTGACAAATTTTTCATTTTTGCGCACTTGAGTATTGCATCTTTTGATGAGCTGCTACAGTGTATGAAAGAAAAACTGACTGGTGTGGACACCAATATGAGAGACAGCATGCCACCGGAAGAAAAGCTCATGGTCACACTGAGGTAAGAAAAAATTTGACCTTCTTATAGGTTAATTTTAATTAGCTTTATTTGTTGATTGAAACTAATACAGCCTTAAAAATACAAAATTTAAAAAGAACATGTTTTTTGCATTGATATTTTGAGTTTGAAGGCACAACACACTTCACAGAACACAATGCAGAAATGTCTGGCCGCACTCACAGTCGCGTCTCGTGTGAAGACCTTCTATTATATATTACAATGGACTGAGGTGGTGGCGCTACCAAGCTGGTGGCTTGAAAACTCGCGTCCTTCTGCCACCAGCATTATGGCAGCGCTTCCAGAGATGCCACAGCCACCACGTGTGAAAGGTTTCATTTAAAGTTATTAGCTGACATGGCCATGCCACCCTGGTGGCACAACTGTGGTGGTGGTGTATGTAAGAGGCTTAATTATACGTGCTCAGTAAGCACTATGTGGACTGAGTCTGTAAAATAAGAACTGGAAGCAACCTTTAAGTGTTCACATGAGAACACCCAACATTTACTGCTTACTAATTAGAATCCAAGGTTGTCCCTGAACTGAAGCTGAACTTCAGCATACCTTCTGGATCATATGGTGTCACAGTCTCATATACAGACTTGCAAGTAGGATGCTGGTAGATATGATTTTCTCCAAATACTAATCGATCAAGGTACCCAGCAGCTCCACCAGTACAATTCGGACTGGAGCTATGGTTATGAAGCCCACCAGGTCCCAGATATCCCACGGGACAGTCAGGAACAGGCATTAAAAATGTCAGCACAGTGTGTGTTGCAGTGAGAGCAAGTACTACAAGCCACTGCACCCAACTATCCAGTAAGTCTTGGATCACCAACCAACGACCATACTGCAAGAACAAACAACAGATACAGAAACAAAGGTGAAGAAGTATATATTTTGCAAGTGCCTTGATTTTGCATATACAGGCACCAGTGGTGGGAAGCTTTCCTTATTTCAAACAGAAGAAAAAAAATATTTACAGATCTTTGAATATAATGAGTTTTCTTCCTACTTGAATCTATTCTGCTTGAAATATGTTTATCACTCCTTAGCATCTTAGGAATTTTTAAACTGTGCACGAATACCAGAATCAGTTCCATAACATTACAAACAGCAACCATATACTTCCCTACCTGGAAGGAACCTTGAGGTTTCATGAACACAGTTTCGATGAATGCAACAACAAAATATGCAAGTCCTATACGTTGCAGTACACCAGGCAGTCTCAAATTTGTGATGCCGTTTTTCTTGTTCCCACTAGAGTTGAGTATCACACCCAGTGCCACAAGTGTGATGGATCTCGTCAATACTCTCAAGAACAGACGTTTCCGTGACAGCGATCTGCGTAAGTGTGAACGAAGGGAGATGGCCATGCTTGCACCCATGATCCAGAGGAACCTAGCATACAATCATATTTTTAGGTTAGTCTCTAAACTTTACATGTTTCAGTTAACATATGGTTCAATGTAGTAATACTGGTTAAAAACCATTGCAAAATACTGTATATACTAGAGATGTGCACTATCTGTGAATCTGATGTGTCACTGGTCCACTATATAATACTCAGTGAAACATGTATCTTTCACCTGAACATATGAGGGAACTACTCTGACTCTTGATTATTAACATAACAGGAACTGAAAACGTTGATGTACTAGTAACACTTGTATTCAGGAGGTGCTCTGTTAAAATCTTGACTGGCACGCCAGCTATCCTAACTGAGGTCTTTCATGGTTTTCCTAAGTTGTTTCAGTCATTTTCCAGAACAGTACCCCAGTTACCCCACAACTGCTTCCTTCCAAACCCCTTTCACCATTCACCTATTGTCCTACTGTTTGGTGCTGTATAGTCTCGCTAGTGACACTCATAAACTAACACACAAAAGTATGACTAAAAGCAAGATGGAACAGATTTGTGTCACTGAAATACAACTTTGCGAAAAGATATTTCTGCTTTTACCTAATTTTGGTCTTGATTATAAATCTGTCATTCTGGTGAAGTTTTAAATATATCAAACCAACTGCAGTACTTCAAGCAACCATCTCAATCAACCTTGTTAATTTAATTTGAAATGTAGGACTGTTGAAAGGTTGGAACAGAAAGGGATGCACAATAGATTACGGTGCAAGGGTCAGTCTATGCCTACCCCTTATGCATTCATTTGACCTTGTTAATTGGGAGGAAATACAAAAATTCAGGAAGCTGATATGAATCTAAAGAGAATTATAGAGAAAGAGAATTTCTTCTCACTCTGTTACCTGTCAGTATAACAGAGCTTACACCGTGGCAAAGGAAACACTGCCTCTCAAATCTCCCATTGCATTAGCAACAGAGTAAAAAGTAGAGAGGAATATTAATGCATAGGGAAGAAAAATACAAAATAATGACTGATGAATACACCACTGAACTGATTCAAGAGTTGCAAAATTAAAATGCCTACTAATAAAAACTGTGAGCCGGGATAGCATAGTTGGTACAGGAACTGGCTAGGGTCTGGAGTTCAAGTACTGGTAGGGTCAAGAATTCTCTCTTCTCCAAGTCATCCAGGCCAAATCTGGGGTCCACCCAACCTCCTATCCAATGGGTACTGGGGACTCTTTCCCTGTGGGTAAAGCAGCCGGGTGCTTGAAGCTGACCACTCACCTCCAACTAGTACTGAGGTCAAGAAAATGTGGAGCTATACATCCACTCCCCCATACACCTTCATGGCATAGTGCTTAATAAGTTAAGCTCGGGGCCAACTTCACTTTTTTTTTTCCTGATAAAAACTGTTAATTTAGGTGAACAAATTACTTTCTGTTGCTATTTTCAGGAGAATAAAGTTACTCACCATGGGAAAACCAAATCAGCAACTGTCAGACCATTCCATGGAGAGTGTTTGAAAAACCAGTACTGACCTCCTCCATAGTTGACAAATATCATTATTGAAATTGAGATCCTGAAACAGAATGTTCACTCGTAATTATAAAATTATGGTCATCTATAATGAGTACATACTTGTACATCTACATATGTTTACTTTAGTAATTACATGACATGTTAAAATTATGGTCATCCTCACATTCACTTTCTACCACAATCTCTCTCTCTCTCTCATCTTTCTGTTCAGTATGTATGCAGGTGGCAGCAGTTATAGGTCTGCCTCAGCACTAAATTGTGGTGAGAGGTCATCTCCATGTCCTGGCCACTTTTTCTCTGGTATCCACTGGACAGGAGGCTGGGGCGGCATCAGAGCTCCATCTGAATGTCATGGCTGTAGTAGCAGTGGCAGTTTAAACCATTTATGGGACAGGAGCCACATCTCAAATCAGGTAACACTAACAAGTCCTTAGACAGAGTTATCATAAAATTACTGTATTTTCAGCAGCTACACATATCTGATGGAATCAACATGTCTGTTTGAAGCACTCCTGAAAGCCACCATGCCCTACCTGCAGTACAATCTTTGATGCCATTTGAGCATCCACTATATCCTTGAAGCAACAGAATATGACAGGTGGGAAATACAACTACAATACCATGTAAGATTTGAGGCTTTCATGGCGGTGACTATGAAGAAAGCAGTCTTTGTAATTTGCTGCTGAACAAGCAATGACTACTGTGCTGGCCTCTGGCTACCCACAGTGGTACACATTTTGTCAGCACACTTCTTAAAAATGTTGAACCACTTATTTATGGAAAGCCCACCACTGTCTAACAGGAACTTGATTTTCAAGTGGTAATAATATGCAACTCGCATGATTTCTTTTGCAGCAAAAGTACACCTTTAAACCTTCCTTCTAGTATAGCACTATAACCATGAACTGTATTTCTAGAAGGAAAATATATCCTTACAGGTTAGTGTTCATATTTACTTACACTGAATTTTTATTTCATTTAATTGAGGATGAGGTGGACAGGTCATGTAGCGCGAATGGGGGAGACGAGGAATGCGTCTAGCATATTGGTGGGAAAGCCAGAAGAGACCACAGGGAACACCAAGGCGTAGGTGGGTGGACAATATTTGAATGGATCTTAGAGAGATAGGATGGGATGGTATGGATTGGATAGAGCTGGATCAGGATAGGAACCAGTGGAGGGCTCTTGTGAACACAGTAATGAACCTTTGGGTTCCATAAAATGCTGGGAAATTCTTGAGTAGCTGCAGAATTGGCAGCTCCTCCAGAAGGGCTCAGCTCCATGAGTAAGTAAGTTTAATTTGCAAGTACATTTCCTTTTCTGGCCCTTACAGGCTTTATATTAAAATAAACTCACCCTCGAAATACATCCAATGACTTCACGCGACCTTTCGACCTTATAACAGTAACAGCCTCGGATATTAATGATGGGACATCTGTTGGACTAGGAGTTCCCAAATCCTAAACACAAGACACAAAACTTTGACCATTTTTAGTTACTGCACTTCCATTTATGCCTCTATCAATGTCTGCAGACACTATGTTGACCTATAGGAACATTTAATTTCCCATGTTTTCACTTATATAACAATGAATTCGGTGCATTATATCATTTAGGATTCTAGAAATCTGTTTCTTAGTTCTCTACACTGTTGTTAGAAATCACAAATGTTTGAACCCAAATGCATATCAGTTATTTAATGGTCATATGTAAAACTGTCAGCCAGAAGATAGTGTCCTCTTTGTCCTACTAAATCAGCAGCTTAAGTTCAGATATGGACTCTGAACAAACATCATACAACACTGGATGGAAAATAACCAATTCAATCTGAAACCAAATTTTATGGGCCTCTTAATTTTGTATTGCTAAATTACCTTTCTTTTTCTTTATGAAACCTTACACAATTCTGCATTACATGTAAATATTTCCACACTTCTGAAAAGAATGTCTGGGAATGGCGTCAGAATTGTGGAATCCCCTCAAATATAATTAAGAAATAACTTACTCCACTATGAGGGAGAAGTAAGGGATTCTGATGGAAAATAGGTGCAGAAAAATCATACATAAACATAAAACAGTGTCATATAATAACAGTGCTACTGTACTTACACTCTCCAACTCTGAAAATGGCACATTTCGTGCTCTTATTTGTGCTACCCATTCAGATGAATATATACATCGGCCAATGTTGAACAACAAGAAAGCTGCCAAATAGATGAAGAAAGCAACCACAATTGCTGGAAGTAAAGGCAATCTGCATTACTAAAAAAATAATACAGTGCTAATGTTCATCGTTCAATCTACAAAATATCGGTGTCTGATAAGGAAAACCAAATCATACGTAACCAAACAATTCATATCTACAGACATAAAACAGCTGAAAACAATCAGAACTGTAAGGCTAAAACAATAACAAGGGTTACGGCCTATTTTAGATTTCAAGGATTCCTTAACATTAAGTTCCGTTTGGAGCGTATGTATCAAAAAGGGGCACGCGGTAGCAGGGTTCAATTTCTGACGAGATCACTGTATTTTTTAAACAACCTAATCCTTCCAGCAGCACTATGACCCTGGGGTTGACTCAGCCTCTAACAGAAATGAGTACCAGGAATCTTCCTGTGGGGTAAAGGACGGCTGGCGCATAAGGTTGACAGTCTCACTGTCATCTATGAGGTGACTGTCTAGGAAATGAGCCCCAATGTCTTACAACCCTATGGCCCTCCATGGTCTGTTACAGGGATAGCTTTACCTTATCCTACATTTATGTAGTACTGAATCTATATGATGGTAGAAAGGTTAATACCAATATTTTTTCTTTATGTCTTAACTTTTTCACTCCAAAGTTTATTTTCCTATGACATAAGTAACATTTTGTGAAGCTGAAGATTTCAGATGTTTTTACAAAGCAGTTATTTTTAAAATTGCCAATCATATACAAAAGTTACTTAGTTCTAATTAATGAGCATTCATTTTATACATACGTATATAAGGTTTATCAGGGCTTTGAATTGTGTATATTCCATAGCAACTGTCTCCTGTGATGTTCCAGCCATATATTCCGTGTTCTTCAAACTTATATCCCTCACTGTAAATAAAATTAAGTGTGTATGATTTGCAAAATAATGACAGAAATTACATTCACAGGTTAAAATAAAACAATTTATACTGTCTTAGTCTCCAAAATTTATTCATGCTTAATAACATTTCTGAGTCTTTCAGTCCACTGACTGTCAACACCAATTCATGAAGGTTCTGGATGTAAGAAATAAGTGACTTCTGGTATGAATAAGTTTCAGGTATCTTAATAAGTACAATGATGAAAACTTATTATTTTGGTTACAATAAATTTCAAATGGAACTTTTTTATCTTCATAATCTTATGTCAGTACCTCTTTCCTCTTAATTTTATATAAATTGATCTTAATTATTCTTAAAGAAAATAATTTTCCTTCTGTTAATTTGACATTATTGAAAATATGACTACAAACTTGCACTGAAACTAGAAGTTTGTAGGCGAAAACATCTAGAGACAGAACTTCCATTTTACATCAATGAAAGCTTCAACATCCTAAATTTCTGCATATGGAGGTTTTATTGTGATTGACTTCTGACACAACTTTGTATGTTGAAAATCTATGTCGCTGCTTCTTCAGGTTACTATATTTATAGTAAATTAATAAACTGGTAACCTCTAGAGTCCCAAGACAAATTAGAGCAACAGAATTGTAATTGTATGACTGACGCTTTAATATTCAAAGCAGACGTAGTATATTCTTTGAGTATTTGGTGTCTTGTATATCTGCGACTGGTTCTATATCAGACTGGCGACATTTGTAGCCTGTTCTTGATTAATGGAATATTACAATAAACTGAACTGAACTGAACAGAAAAGGAAACTATTTACATGCCAGTGCTAATTACATCACACTTTCACATCCAACATGCCCAGCATTTTGGATTAAAACATGTAACATCCGATTAGTTGCAGAAGAACAAACTGTCAGCGGTGATCAGAAATACAGGTGTTAGTACCTAAAAACCATATATCAGTAAGAAATTTGTCTTAATAATTTGCAAATTGAGAATGAAACTGCTTTTAATTTACCTGCATAAATCTGCATTTAGACTGTGAACTGTACCACATCTATGCATACTTACTAGCAATATTCTGAATGGTTATTTTCAACATACAAATCTATAGGAAACGTTGTCTTCAACAGCACTGACACACTGCCATTTGCAGGTAACCTGGCAGCTTCAATAAAATCACACTGTAAAGAGAGAAAAAATTAAGTAATCCTACAGTCAGCTGCAGTGTGAGGCAACCAGAAGCAACACAAAACTTTACTTTAAAAAATATATTATACTGTAGTCATAAATAGATGTATTCAGCTTATTCTTAATTTCATGTTAATGTACAATAAACGCTAGTTTAAAAGGATAAATATTGTTATGTATGATGAGAGATACTGAAATTTGGCCATTTTACCATATACATGTAAGGTACTAAAGTACCTATGCCTAAGCACCATAAGGACATAAAGGATGTGTTAAAGTGAGGCGCTATGTACTCTACGACTTGGCATACAACTTTTCAATGAATGCCTGGAAATTTCCCTAGTTCTGAAAGATCATTTGTACCTCTGGATAACACTGTACTGATGACTTGTATATGGGGAGGTGTAAATTGAAGAGTTCTAGCTTCTGAGATGTAATACCATGTAGTCTGCTGAAAATCAACCGACATTTCAGAGGAACATGTCACTCTCATCTTCAGGGTCAAAGAATAAGCCAAGCAGCAAACACGGCTCTTAGCTCTTGACTTTCAACAGACCGCACAGCATTATATCCCAGGACAGGGAAGTCTTCATAACCACTGCTGTAAGAACAAAAAATCCTACACGTGTAAATTGGTTCAGGAAGATAATGAGGATAAAAGGAAATTCTAATGGTGGCTCTCATGCTACTGTACATAATCACAGCAGTCTAGACAGATTTTTTTCCTTACTGTACATGAGATCACATATAATGTGTCATTTAGAGGGAGTTAAAATAACTGGGCAATTGTATATTACGTTATTCATATGACATTGTGAATATTATTATTGCTTGGTCTAAAGAATGCAATAAAACAGATTTACCTTATCACATTCTTCTGACTGGGTCCAGAGAGTGAGAGAATGAGGCGATGATGATATCACTTTCAGACATGCTTCATCTAACCCTAACTGGGGATTAGTTTCATTACACTGTTTAGATTCATCCCACTGTAATAACATCTTCAACACTGTATTCCAGTTAAGATTTTCATACATCCTGTAATAGAAGAGTTACAAGCCTGAGATAATATAATATAAATCACATTTATTTCTACATTAACCTTCATTGAATGTGCACTACACTGTAACAGCACATGCACACAGTCCAGCTGACAACACTGCATTCTTTCAATGCTAATAGCATTACCCCTCACCTGAACTCTTGCTGCCAGTGGATTTAAAATCCCCTACTCATGGAAAATTGCTGGCCATGGTAGCCAAGCCGTTTGAGGCATGCACTGTCTTCGCGTGCTTAGAAGCTAGGATTGTGGGTTCGAATACCACACAAGGCACAGATGTTTGGTATGTGTATGCATTTATTCTCTGTTTGTGTTGTCTCTTGTTTAGATAGAGGCCTTGCGACGAGCTGATCACCCATCCAAGGAGTCCTACCACGTGTAAAAATGATCAATAAAACTGAGAAATCAGCCCTATGCTCCAAAGTAAGAGCAAAGGGGAAGAAAAAGAAATTAACTGAAAATTAAGGTTAATGAATTTTTTTCTGTGAAGACATGGTTTTGTTCTGTTGAAGTCCACACACATGACACTGAATTACTGCATTCTTTATTATCAATGTTACTTTGGGCTTGATTGTGATTTAGGTTCATGTTCACATGCATTCATGCACAGGTGCAACACACAGTTGAGTATTTATTCTATAATGTTGATTTGCAGATCAGATTGTAATAAATGTGATGCAAATTATTTCAGTAATGTTAAGATATGATGTATATTTGTAATTTAAAATAATGTACTATTTTAAATTTGCATTTTCAACATTCCAACACAACAAATATACTTACAGACTTATATTGTTCAGTTATGTTTCTGGGTATTGATTCATTTGGCAAGTTTTCCTTAGTGTATAAACACATATGAACTTTTCTGAAACAACAGATGTTACAACTTTACATTACGTCAGAATGCACGCTAAAGCCTTACAGTACAATAACATGCAAATTCTGTCTTCTAAAACCATATGAACATATCACAATTTACAATTAAATTCAATACAAATTTAACTTAAAGTCACTCCCCATGAGCATAGATACAATTTTGACATTTTCTCAGATATATATTGACTTGTAATGTGGTGAAGCTGCCATGAACTCAAATAGTATTTAAGTGAAAGACGTCGATGATTTCTGTCATACTGCAGCATTCTCAACCCACATACAAATTGCACAGCCTTAAGCGACAATTACCTTTTGCATGAATAGGAGAGAAATTATTAAACCACACATGTTAAAACTCCTATTGTTACACCATAGCAATTAGCAGCATTCTAATCCCTTGATGGAGATATCTGAATACTTCATACAGGAAATGTTTCTGGAAAATATCCTTACAATCTTCATAGAATTTTAATTCAATATGATGAGGCAGACAATAAAAATTCTCATACCCAACCACTACTCATTAGTAGAAAAAGGTGCAATAGTTCATAAACCTGTATATTGCTTGAAATGTTTACAGTACTGTAATAAAAACTGGAACTATACCATTATGGTATATGTTTTAATATTCAAGGGACCACAGACAACAACAACCTGGGCATGATCTAGAGACACCAATGTTTTTCAATATCATTACATCCACTAGATTTAACATATATTATTCCAAGGTTAATTTTACAGTGCTGTCTTCATACATGGTTTTGATACAAAACATAATAATGTCTTGCCACATAACATTATAAATACATGGCTACTATAACTGATTCATTCGTTTTTAAAACGCTATATTTTCCAAAGCATTATACCTACAAATATGATTGATATATAAAAAGAACCGTAAACTCGCCAAGTTTTCTTCATACTCTACAAATGTTCTATCTATGCCCCTTGGGTCACATGACACACGTCCAGGCAGTAGTCGAGCTTGTTCCACACATTTTGTAGCATCATCCTGTCAATGGTCATCACTGCAGCATCTATGCGTTCCCTCAGCTCTACTACTGTTCTTGGCAGTGGGGGTACGTAAACACGATCCTTAATGTACCCCCAAAGGAAGAAGTCACAAGGCATTAATTAGATCAAGTGATCTGGGAGGCCAAGTGAACAGAGCTACGTCATTCTCACCAACACGCCCAATCCAGCGTGTCCTTATTGCCGATACAACCACAAAATGCTTTGTTTACATGGCGGTTCTTTTCCGTACTCTCTTTTGAATGCGCGTTGCACTGCTATAACAGACGAACATCTCGCATATTCCAACAAACAAAAACTCTTTTCTTGCATTGTCGCCAGTTTGTAAAGGCACTGAACTTGTGCTGCCAACTGGTGCACACAATACAAACTTGGTGAGGTTACGGTTCTTTTTATATATCAATCATATTTGTCCGTGTAATACTTTGGAAAATATGGCGTTTTAAAAACGAATGAATCATTTATAGTAGCCCTGTATAATGATGTTATATTCACTGATTTTATCACAAATAATTTCACCTTTGTTATGAAGTTATTCTTGTGACTAGAACTACATACTTCATGTGCCCATAGGAATGGAGGTAAGGCTCTATGCATTTTCATGCATTAGAACTTTGCATCTCTGTATAGCATGACAGTATGTTCTTTATGAATAACTTCACCTTTTCTCATTTTACATGATATATGCAAATTCTCTGTCCATGAATTAACGATTATGGTAGACATGAATGGCTATTAAAATAAATTTCCATACTGATATCACACATAATTGTATAAGATATTTCACTGATCAAGGCAAATCTGAAAATGTGGTACATTTAAAAAAAATGTGATTATATATAAAAAGTCTGACATGTTACATCAGAAACAGGCAAGAAGGACTGGGTCTCTAATCCCTGAATGTCACATAGAATCAATAGAAATGATAAGTCAATATTAATTTTTATACCAATACCAAAATACTTTCAATGTGGTATTGTATCAAATTACTAACATCCTTTGATAGTCTTTGTAATGTCACAGAAGACGCAAGCAGAGCACTCTAATTCAAAAAGTGAAACAAAATGTAATTAAACAGCAGTTAAATATCTGATATTCTTCCACAATTTCAATGTCATGAGTATGTTTTCATATTTAGAATAAGAAAATATTGATACTACTGGAAACCACTATTTCACCTGAAATGAAATTAAAGGTGTCACGTTAAGGAAGGCACTACACAACACATTAGGAAAGTAGTTTACAAGAGCATATACAGATAAACAGAACAATGACTTAATCTGTTACACAAGTATGTAAATTACTTTCCTTTATCATAAAGTTACTAGAAAGCATATAATTATCCATAGGATAAATCCACCAGGAACGCAGATATAATGAGCAACCATCTTATCCAGACTTTGCTTTGGCAAACCTCTCTGAAATGTTCTTCCAATTAACAACGTCAAAAATTGCCTTCACGTAATCAGGTCGCACATTTGTATACTGCAAATAGTAAGCATGTTCCCAAACATCAATGCCAAAGAGAGGTACAAGACCTGTTGTTGCTTCCAATGGGTCCTGATTTGCAAAGGCTGCTAACTGAAGTCGCTTTGTCTGTCTGTTGCAGCCCAGCCAACCCCAACCAGATTCCTGCACTCCAACAGATACTGCTGACAGTTGTGCTTTCAAGTTGTCAAGTGAGCCAAAATTGTTTTTAATAGCCTCTTCCAATTCACTTGATGGGCTTCCTCCAGTAGGAGACAGGTTTTGCCAGAAGATTGTGTGGTTGATGTGGCCTCCACCATTGAACTTCAGTGCAGGGCCCAGGCTGATGATTGTGCTTACACAGTTCTTTGCTTGTGCTTCCTTCAACTTCTCTGGATTATTGAGGTTGTTCACATAAGCAGCATGATGTTTTGAATGATGGAGCTTCATGATCTCAGCACAATAATTGGTTCCAGCGCATTATAATTGTATGGCAGATCAGGAAGTGTGTGCTTCTGATGCTCACCTCCATTGCACAGAATTCTGGGATGATTATATCTGATAAGTGATAACAATCCTCGCCTGTACAAAATCATTCCAGTCAATGTAACTATTGTGCAATTTTATAAAAAACTACTTTGACAACTTTGACCGACATAACCTAGAAAGCAATAGTCATGGACAACTTGTAGGAGAATCAAAGATTACAGTTGATCATCAGCATGGTTTAAATACAATACATAATCTTGATACTGCCATGAGAATCTAAAATCTTTTAGTTATACTGGATTTTACAATTTAGATCTTAACAAGACCTTGAATGCTTTGGCGAAATGAACATTTGGGGTGACAACTAGTTAGCGGGGCAGCAATCTGATTTAATATTTGGTATGCTAAACTGATCTACAAAAACAAAGATGATTCCGTATACTTTTACCCACTTAACTTCACAAGATGGGCTGGACCAAATTGTCCTTGCAGATAACAGTTGCAGGAATCATCAGATCTACCAACAGCAATTAGATCTTGTTGCATTTAAGGTTCTCACAGCAGTGGATATAGTTTTATCTTCTGGGACATATAGCCGTGTAGTCCAGTGAACGTTAACCGACGTTTCGGAGGAATATATATTACCTCTATCTTCAGTGTCGAAGAGTTGTCCAAAACTGAAAATCGGCACAAAGCACGGTGCTAGCACGGCAAATCGGACTATATGGTGTTATATCCCTGGCGACTGCACCCTTCAGTAATTACGTTACTAACCAATTCAATGTTAATAAATTACGTAATTCTGCTACATGTGTATTGCAATAACGACTTACTAAAAAGTTCCTTAAAATGCATACATTCACATGTAGTGGGTACGTACTGTATATTCTGGCGGTATCTTTTCTTTTCTAGGCGAGAAATGCTAATGTTACCATTATTATTCCGTTTGCCTTTCCATTTGTTTTGTAAAATCACGACCAACAGTCTTCGAATACTTTCCCATTTGACACCGTTCAACACCACAGATTTGACCAATCTGTATCACCCTATGGAAGCAAACACCAGGAGCTAAACCGTAACCGGAAGCATTGTAAGCGACTTTGAACCATTGAAACTAATACATGGAATGAGATTTACCTTGCTAGCTGAAGCTATCAGGATGAATTAATAGGTCGTGAGCAAAGGAGTTCCGAAATTAATAAGACTCAAACTAACAATATACGGAATTCATAAAACGTTTCATAAGCATTGAATTTCATAATATTATCATCATGTGGTGTTGCTAAAATACACAACGTAATTCAGAACGAACAACGCTATTTATCGTTATGCAAACCCTTTTGACAGCTTAAACACGAGAAAACTATTACAGGCTCTAGACTCAGCGATGGGAAATGGCAATTTTCTAAATAAAAAACCCTCATTAGGGATATCATGGACCATAACTATGAGTTCACTGGTGTAAGGGATGGGTTGATCCTTAACCTTTAAGTGACAATATGTTGCAAATGATGGCACACTATAATGATCCACTGAATCCTCTTCTGTTCATATTATTGACGGTGGACATGAGGATAGTGAACCACCTGAAATTATAATACTGATGTAAACGGATGTTGTGGTCGTACTCTCATCGTAGACCTGCACATAGCATTTTACATTCTACTTACTCCTAAGGATTTGACAGCTTTCTGAAATAGTACTGCTGTCTGCGATTATTTTCTGGGAATTAGTGGGCTCTGAAGCACATATGAAACGACGTATATTCATTGACAATTGATATCGCAATATACCTACTCCCCTAATTTGGCCCCTTGTGATACATTCATACTTTTCCTAAACTGAAAACTGAATTTAAAAGGAGAACGTTTTACAACAAGGGCATTAGTGAAAATGTGACAATAAACTGAGAGCCATTCCAAAAAAATGAATTGTAGGCATGCTCTAACAAAGCAAGAACACTGGGATTGAGCTATTCTGTTGTGTGGAGACTACTTTGAAGGGAATACATTCCAAAGTTTGTGAGATCTCATATTGTGTTTGTTATTACTTTTTGATAGGCCTTCATACTGTAACTGAACAGTTTCCAAAAATATTTGTTATCCATATGGTTATGCTCTTAACTTACAGCCTTCTGCAGCAGAATAGGTTGCACTTCAAGTTGCTACCTATCATGTGGATTAACTGTACATTCTTATAGCAGCAGAGGACTGTAACAGGACTCACTACATTTCTGTCTGTTTTAATTGTTTACTTTCTTTCACTATATGTCATTTAAGAGTACAACAGAGAATGCAATAGGTATGTGTGAAATGACCAACTATAGAATAATACGTGTTGTTTTGAGCAAGTCCATTCTTGTACATAGTTACCACTTTTAACATCTGTACAGACTGTTGTGTGGTAATGTCTGTGTAGTGTGTCATCTTTAAAATAGTTCAGTTCCTATATGCATTTCTTATTTTAAATCCACATTACTGCTGGATATGAAAACAGCTACAACCTGCTCCTTTCGTTATGGTCAAGTATCTGTTTCAGACTTACTGAAGTCTTCAGTTGATTTATTTACCTAACTTTGTGTTCTATTTGGGTTATATTTTTATTTGAATGAACAGCAAAGTACCAAAGATGATCATTTCTGAGTCTTCTCATTACTACTAAGAGTTTGGGTGAGCCCTATTGTGTCTTTTTCTACCACTTCATGTACACAAACTGTCAGCACATTTTGTGAATACTAATTATTTTCTCAAAGCTACATCACTGTGTCTTATGTGAATAATTCAAACAGATAAAAAATCAAATACCTGTGTTTAGATTTATGAGCTAATTACTGGTCCTAATGTACCCACATATTAATTGAAGTTTTGTTCTTTGTTTTCACTGATGCTTTCACTTTGCTTCTTCCCCCCCCCCTGGAAACAAGCAGCATTTTGGACCCACCCAGCCTCCTATCAGTTGGGTATGAGGGGCTCTTTCCCCGGGAGTAAAGCGGCAGGAGCGTGACGCTGACCACTCACATCCAACTAGTGCCGAGGCCAAGAAAACGTGAATCTGTACATCCACCTCCCCATACGTCTTTATGGCATAATGGTTAATTAGTTAAGCACAGTTCATCATAGTCTTAATTATTTTGATATATTGAGTTTTTGGACTTTATCCATCATCCTGGTTTCTAAGATAACTAATAAAAACACGACATTTCAGAAACTGGATCTGTTTCCAAAACGTCGTGTTTTTATTAGTTATCTTAGAAACCAGGACGATGGATAAAGTCCAAAAACTCAATATATCAGTGTGTTATACACCATCGTCAGAATCCTATAGTAACTACTTAATTATTTTGTTTATAGTTTCTTATTTGCATACATTTTTGTGTGCACTCTTGGTAACTGGACGTAAATAAATTACAGTATTATTACTGTGCCACAGCCACTTAGTTCATAATCACTTTCATTGCAGACATCTTGCAAGACCAACAATGATTTTTCATTGTGATATGGGAGAGCATAACCTCATTAAATAATTCATTATTCAATTCAGTTCTTTATTTATTTACATACGCGTCAGCAGCCAAAATGCCAATTATACAGCATGCACAGTAAAGAGACTAAACAAACATGCACACAAATGATGATGATGATGATGATGATGATGATGATGATGATAATAATAATAACAATAATAATAATAATACATTCCTAATGGACATACATATATATCTTTGTGTTTTTTTTTATTTCCAATTCAAGAAGAACATGTAGGGACTTTGTATGAACTATATTTTACAAAAGAATTGTATCAGCCCTTCTTCGCAAAACTGTGTGGAATCAATATAATCTTTTCATCAGATTTTAGTTTTCTTGAAGTTTTCATTGACATCAAAACATAAATATTAATAGAGTTGATTTCGGGGGAAAACTGAGATGTAAGACACTCGTGGCATAGTTTTGTCCATAACAGGGCGAAACTCCTTGCCAATGGTAATTTGTTTTTTTGGTGGCTCATTTACTGGTTGTCGTGCTGATATTGTTGTCAGCTTCTTCCTTTTGTAGTAGAATATTTCTCCAGCAAGAGTAATCATAGCCAAAGCTAATCCAAACAGAGTTGCAATGAATACACCTCCTGGAACAAAGCAATACATAAAATAGACTTTTAATTCAGACCTAAAGCATTTAAACTGTACGTTTCATCCAAAGGCTTGACTTCTGATGTATATATAACATACTGCACTCAGTGAACACAAATTCTCCTGTTACCTAAACGCCAGTTTATGTAACGTAGGGAGTTGAAAGTGTATCTGTGAATGAACTTTTCTTGTATTTTCTTCTGTGAAAAATCATAAATGAATCTTCTGTTCAGTTGCATGCAGAACTACCATTTACTGTACTTCAACAGAACATTCCGTGATAACTCAATGGCTTATATAATCCAATTACCTGTTACTGATGATAACCTACCTTCAGTTTTCATAGTTTGTGTATACAAATTATTGCACTTTTTATTGAATTTGAAGCATAGATTTGTCCAAATAAGTATTATTTTTCAGAGCTTAATCTGTACAGTGGTGAACTTGATGTAAAATAGGATTTGGGGCTCCTGTGATTAAGTTGCAAAGTATTCTGCTGAGTATAAATTGTTCAAAACATTCTGGATGGGATATTGATGCAAGACACTGAAGTATTTTCTATTGTTGTCTTGTTTGGTCTGTGATAATAGTCTTTGCTGCTGCAAATGGTTTATAAATATTTGACTCTGTACCTATATTGCAATATTTCTTGAAACCAACTTTAATAAAAATAAACTTGAGAGGGATGTATCAGTTTCACACAGAATAAAATACCATTATGGGTATTACTGCCTAGTACCCTCTTGTTACTTTGTATGGTCTCCTTAGAATATATTGTTGCTTCAGAATCTTGGAGATTAGAGGAACCAATTTTTATTTTTTCATAGTTACAGCATTATTATATGTGTATTAGTGCACCAGTTTTTCAGAATGAACCAAATGAAATTTATGTAATTTAATTTGTCCCAACATAATACAGAAAGATGTCATGTAATACTCACCCAGACTTTCAAGTGTAATACCCTCACTGTCATCATTATTAGGGCAGTCTCCCTTTGCTGATGAATTCCAGTACTTCCCAGATAAAGTTTCAAAATATCGGTCTTTCTGAAGATCTAGGATTCTGTAAGATATTAGGTGTGCAAGTTAAAGAATCTTTATGGAAAGTGTTCTTTTAAAAAGAATTAAAAAATTGACATATTAGAAGCCAGAATACTTTGTGTGTTAAGGACCCAGTTCCCAGGTCAGAAAATTCAGAAACTTGCTGCAAGAGTGCACGTATTGAAACATTGTATTTTACAGAGAGTTTGTTTACATGGAATGCATCCACTCGCACTTCAAAGCATTTTCAGTGAAATTTCAAATACTGTTGAGGAGAATTTGCTTTAAATATGTTGGAAAAATTATTTCAGTGCACTTAGCATAATGTTAAGAATGGTCTGACTAGCAAGAACGCCAAATTAGGCTTTAGATGGGCTGGCTATATATATCACAGTTTTTGGCTCAAGTTCACTCATGGATTTAAATATTGGTCTTGTTGTTTGCCGTAACGCATTCTGGTAGGCATTTATCCAGGATTCTAAAACGTTGATGGATATTAATATAAAATATCAAAATCTGGAAACTTTTAATCATGTTAATCTTTAAAACAATTATATTATTTTAAGAAAATAATCAGCAATGAACTATGAAGCAATGCTAAATCATCATTTCAAAATTATTTTCTTATGAGCTAATTTGTTTAACGTTGTGTGCTTTGGTCTTTAATTTACAGGACATTAGTATTTTTTATGTAATCTCAAACCCTCAAATTAGATAGATCTGTTAGAGATGATACATCAGCTGTCTATACTATGAATATGGAAATATTTGCATATTATGTTATCTAACAAAGTCTGCAATAGCTATGATAGTCCGGCTGGTATAATGACTGGCCCAGATTGGATGACAGGTTTGATTACCGAATTTTTATCTTTTGCTATAAGTTGAGACTAGTTCTGTGTCCCACTTAGCTTCTTGTCCAATGGGTACTTGAGGGCACTTTCCCCAAGCAGCCAAAGCATAAAACTGATTACTTACCGAAATATAATGCCAAGTTTAGGAATGCCTGGAGCTATATCTCCATTCTACCATACGAGTATACTTTTATGGTACTGTGGTTTTAGATTCTCACAGTAGTGAGTAATTAGATGGCAGTCATCTTGGATGTGATACCATGTAGTTTTATATGTAGTTACTAACATTTCAGAGGGACATGCTGCCTTGATCTTCTGGGCAGGCTAAAGATAGAAGCAGTATGTTTCTCTGAAATGTTGGTACCTACCTGCCAAACAACAGGGTGTAATATTCCAGAAGTCTATAAACTACACTGCTGTGGCATTACTTTCTTATTTGAAAGTACTGAAGATTAAGAAATGAATATGTAAATTTCAGTTTAGATGATGAAGATATGTACTTACTTCCTGCTTATCTCTTCTTGCAAATGGCTGCCCTGCTGAACAGCTATAGCATAAGGCTGCTCAGCAAACATCTCACCAACTTCAGTGAGATTACAGTTACGTGACACTTCATATCGAATCTGTGCTGCATCATGGATAAATGCAAACTTTCCCTCCTCCTGGTCAATTACCTGAATGAGACAAAGAATTTATTGATCATCTTTAATATATTTGTGATCCATAAAGAAGATGCATTCTCTTTGTTTATAATATGAATGTGAAATGAAGATAGTTTACTTAGATATAAGAGATTTTGTTCACAGATTATCAGAACAAATCAGTATTTAACTGTATTGTTGATAAGTTCTTACCACATACAAATTTTGTATTGGCTTTTGCTTTTCAATCCACTATATTTTGAAACACAATATCCTGATTTATCATGGACCTTAAGCTCGATGCTCCTGAAAGGCTCCTGTTGCAACATAATCTCTCAAATTATAATTTATTATGGGATGCAGGATCTGTGTGATTTTAGGCTGGAGATGAAATAATGTGATTTTATTGGAAAAATAAATTGTTGTTGGACAAGAGATATATGTCTGTTCTCATCAGAATTAATAACAATTAACATTTATTCTAATGAAGGAATCATAGAAAGTTACTTCTCTGTCTCAGGTGCAGGGATACAGTGTGTCATGACTGTTGATTTTCTTTGTGTCATGCTTACATATCACTTAACAGCCTTATTGAATGAGAAGAAACTTTTTATTATAATACAAAACAAAAACAAATGAATATAGATCACTATTACCAACTTGATCATTTTTACATTACTAGATTCTCAACATTCCTCCTTAATTTCAAAATGTTACAACATTATTAGCTGTTTTACATAGTTCGATTGAATAACAGTTAGTAATTTTGGTCTTCAGATTACAAAATTAGTACATGTAATTAAAATTTTCTCAGTCTTATCAAAATCAGACTTATTTCTTCTTAAGTATAATGTCTCTAAACTTGGTAAATTTCCCTGGTGATAGCAGTTTTGTTAAAATGTCTGCCACCTGAGTTTCAGTGTTACAATATTTGATTGAGAAGAGTTTCTCTTTCAATTGTTCACTTATGTAGTGATACCTAACGTCTATGTGCTTACTTCTACACATTACTTGTCCAGATTCTATTAGCTTGATTGCACTCTGATTGTCGACACACAGTTCAGCTTCCACCCTTTTTCCTGTCAACTCCTCTATCAACGTCTTTAGATATTTCAAGTCTTTACAGCATTCAGCTGCTGCAATATATTCGGCCTCAGTGGCTGATAATGCAACAATACTCTGTTTCCTAGAGCACCATGATATTGGGCCCCCTAACATCATAATTACATATCTCATTACACTCTTCCTATCCTTTACATNATCTTATGTCATTTTATCCTTCGTCATTTGTTGGTGGGGTCATGGCCATGGGTGTTTTCATTTCTCGACTTTCTTGCATGTTGTGTTTTTCCAACATTTGGCTTGCATAGTTGGTTTGAGAGATGTGTATCCCATCTGGTTGCCTCTCAATTTGTATTCATAAATAAACTTTTGGATTTGTGGTTTTTGTTATTTGGAATTGATTTTCCAGTTTCAGCAAAATTTCCTCTATTTGTCTTTCATCCTCTCCCATGATCATCCCGTCATCCACATGAATGGCCATGAACAAACTATTGGCATCATTCTTAAAAATGCATTGGTCAGATTTTAGTTGGTTTAGACCTTCTTCTTTTAGAAAGGTTGTCAACTTCTTGTTCCATTGCGATGGTGCTTGTCTTATGCCATATAATGCCTTTTCCAGGAGACATATCTTGCCAGTGTTCTTGTATCCTTCTGGTATCTCCATGTAGTTTTCCTCCTCAAGGTCTCCATACAGGAAGGTAGTCTTCACATCAAAGGTTTGCATGTTCATATTCTTATGTGCTGCTATGGCAAACAGTAATCTAAGAGAATTCATGTCAACAACTGGGCTAAAGGTATCCTTGAAATCTATTTCCCTTCCTTTTGTTGACATCCTCTCACAACCAGTCTGGCTTTGTGTCTTTGATCATCCTTTATTTTGAAAAGCCATTTACTGGTCAGAATTTTCTTGCCCATTGCTTTCTCTCTGTTTACATATATCCAAGTTTTCTTTTGGTAGAGCGAATCCTTTTCCTCTTTAATGGCTTTCTTCCACTTTTTGCTGCCTTCGCTCTTCATGCACTTGTCATATGTATAGGTGAGCATATCCTCCTTTTGACTCTCTGTGTGATAGTCTCGGTACGTTGGGTGCATTTTAATGTTTCTCCTTGGTCTCAATGCATATCCATGTTCATTTTGTCCATTGTTTTTCCTTCCATTATCTGTTAGTTCTTATTCATTGTTGTCAGCTTTGGGTTCTTGCTGCATTTTGCTATCTTCCTGATCTGGCGTATTTGGCTTGTTTTCTGGATCCGTCACTCTTTCCATTTCCTTTTGTGTATTTGTTGTCACAGGTTTACTCGTGAATGTCACATCTCTGGAGACATAGGTCCTTTCAGTATTTGGATCCCATATTCTGTAGCCATTTGTGTTGTATCCAACGAATATTCCTTTCTTGCTACGACTGTCCAACTTTTCCAGTGGTCCTACAATTTTAGTGTACACTTCTGAACCAAAAATCTTCAATCCAGCCAGATCTGGTCTTTTACCATACAAATTTTCCACTGGCGTTCCAATCACTGTCACTGTTGGACTTCTGTTTAGCAGGTATGCAGAAGTGAGTACAGCTTCACCCCATATTCTCTTACTTAAACCTGAGTAAAAAATCAATGCTCTTGCCTTTTCCACAATGGTATGGTTCATCCTTTCGGCAGTGCCATTTAGCCATGGTGAATATTGTGTAGTGAATTCCATTATAATCCCCTTGTTCTTACACCATTCTCTCAAGGCGTTGTTCTTATATTCCCCTCCATTGTTGCATCTTCAATTTGCTTCAAGGTGTCATACATTTCTTTCACGGTTGTGCATGTCACTATGTGGGTCTTCACATGTTTCTCTATCGTTCTCACTATGTAGTATTGGCACTTTGCATCTCGCACCTTCCATTTCCTTATATTTTCTTCGTCTCTTCCTTGGTCACTTAACAGGTCGCCAATCAACGATGTATATCAGTTCTTTTCCACGCATCACAATCTTGATTTCAAAATCCCACAGTGGAAATGAGTCGGCGTCCTTCAGTTTTTGGCAGATAAGTTACCTCTTCTGTCTCTGTGGTTTGCCATTTTCTCGTTATTCTTCTTCTGTCTTCTCTATTTTTTTCTTTCCTTTTTTAGTTTTTGAGCAAATCTTGGCCCATAACCTGTTGATTTTCTTTGTGTCGTGCTTACAAATCACTTAACATCCATATTGGATGAGAAGAAAATTTTATTATAATACAAACCAGAACAAAAACAAATGAATATAGATCACTATTACCAACTTGAACATTTTTACATTACTAGATTCTCAACAATGACAACATTGTAACTCATGCTGTTTTAACCCATTATTATGCCATTTGGATACAATGTACTTGATACTGTCTGCTCTAATGAAATGTTTTTTAATATTTTAAAGTATGGCAGGAGATGTTTGGTTTTACTATTTTCTTCTGTGACAGTTTTAAATGTTCAACATATGTTTGAAGACATTGTAAGTTTTGAAATGATAAAGAATGCTGCTAATAGTACCTTTTGAAAGCCCACAGTTGCGTTCTCAACTGGTCCTGTTTGAGTTATGGCCTGCAGAATGTGGCCATATTGCTCCTTGATAGGATAATCCCATACTCTGTACTTGGATTGGTCACTTGAACTATTCAACGTGATGCTCTTCCAAACACTACAAAATGTAAATGCAGCTTTATTACAAATTAGTTACCATTCTTAGCAGTAGATTGTGATATGTAATGTAAAACAAAGGAAATGATCCCTATTGCATCTGTTAAGCAGTTCAGAAATGTGTTAGAAAACATGAATCAAATAGGTTATTGATACAAAGGTATGTGCAGGATTTAAGCTCCAGACATAAAGGTATTCTCATAAACTAGAGTCAGTTTCATTTTTTATTCTGTAAAAGGATACAATAATATGGTGTGCTTGAGGTTCTTGTGGCAGTGATTATGAAGAGTGCTGTCAAATGACGCTCTGAACATGGTGTATCCAGAAAGATTGTAAGAGAATGTCTTACAGTATGATATTTTTAATAAGGTAAGCAATCATGACATATAGGGTCACCTCACAGCAAATTGGATTGTGTGCGCATCTAAAGTGGTACTAATCCTGGGTTTGACACACTTCTTCTTTGAAAAGAACACCAGGTATTCATTTTATTAGAAAATACAAAGAAGCTAGAGCCGTTGTGTAATAATATTTTGCTCCTGTTGAAGCCTCTTTAATCTGTACTGTCATTTTTCTTTTGAAGGCACTTATTTTTGTTGGCTATGTTGTTTTATTTGTTATTAGAAATTTGTATTCATGAGGAAAAGAAGCAGGCTAAGAACTGATGACATAGTAAAGATTAAGTTAAAGATGGCGACTTGCTGTGACGTCTTATATTCTCACTCTATGCAAATTAGTAATAAACAAGCTCTAAACGGTGACTATAAGTGTGTTAAATGTGCTACCCTTGAAACCCAGTTAAAGGACGCTCTACTTGAAATAAGCTCGTCTCAATTCATAATTAAGCTCCTATATAAAGAGTTAAATGAAGCTCAACGTCTTGCAGTGCCACGTGCTACCACGCTGAACGATGCTGTTAACCTCCCGGTCGCGTCTTCCACATGGTCTAAGGTGACACACAAGAATCCTCATAATAAAAAGGGCCCAGTTAATAACAAATCTTTGGATCTATGGCCTCTACCGGAAACTTCAAACACATATTCAGCTTTATCCGATCTCCCGGAATTCACAACAAAAGGTGACGAAACAACTTCATCAAAGAGTGAGGTTAGGAATTTAGGGAACAAGCATCATCCCAGGCGACGACAGTCGGTTCCAAATAAGTACGAAACTGAAAGTAAACAAGGAAAGGACGATAAAACGGACTCGGTGCAGAGGCAAATACTACCAATTATAAATGGCCAAGTATGTATCAGCAAGGAGTGCGATTCTAGGCAGTGTGTTAATGAGGTTCCTTCCAACCTCAAAGATAACGGCTATAGTAATGCAGTACCAAATGATGATAAAATTAAGAATTCAAATATCAGTGCTAATGTGAAAGGTAGAATTCAGTCAACAAGATATTATAAAGTGCTATTGATTGGCGACAGCCATGCAAAGAAATGTGCTTTGAATCTTAGACGTAATCTTGACCATAATTATGAAGTGTCTGGTTTTATTAAACCAGGATCCTTATCCAACGAGACCATTAAGACTGCCGAAAAGGAAGTATCTTCTTTGAAACAGAAAGACGTAGTGATCCTGTGGACAGGTGCTAATGATGTGAGCAGAAATAATTCTAAAGAAGCTCTAAAAAATCTAACTTATTTCATGTCTGCCAATGAGAAGGTCAACATGATACTAATAAACTCATTACCTAGGTACGACCTTATACCAACCTCATGTGTCAATAAAGAAGTAATCAAATTTAACAGACAATTAAAGAAAATTGTTCTGCTGCATAGAAATGTTAAGCTCTTAAATGTGGATGCTCAAAGGAAGTACTTTACTAGACATGGACAACACTTAAATAATAAAGGCAAAGAGCTAGTTTCTTTAGAATTAACCAAACTAGTAAAACAGTGTGTGATAGAAGAAAAAACTGCTCCTATTCCAATGCAATGGAAGGAAGAAAGAACTGACGTTTTCAATAAAATTGTTAAAAACATTAAACCTGTCCCTGTTAAGGAAATGGTAAAGTTAAATGAAAATTTCTCCGGGGAAAATAGAAATGTGGAAAGCTTATCTAACAACATAGATCAGGAAATATATTCCAACAACATAGATCAGGAAATACATTCCAAAGAAGTAGATAGAACTAATATAGGTAGATCTTCAAGTAGACCAAACAAGTCCACAATCTCAAGAAATAAAGATTTTTTATGGTAGACACAAACAGACCTAAATGTTCAAGGAAAAGGGTTAAAAGGAGTGATGATTTAAACATCCCCCTCAGGATATTTCATCAAAATATAAGGGGTTTGAAAGATAAAATTAATGAGTTAACTCTATCTTTAATAAATGAGAAACCTAGTATAATATGTCTATCGGAACACCATTTAAAGGTCCATGAGATGGAGGGAATTCACATACCTAACTACAAATTTTGCGCAGGCTATTGTAGGAAGAAGCACAAAAACGGGGGTGTTTGTATATTCATTAATGAGGATTATAATTTCACTGTGATTAATGTTCAAAAATTTTCAAAAGAAAAGGATATTGAAATAGTAGCTATTAAAACAGAATTTAATAAAATAAGGATAATAGTTTTATGTATATATAGATCCCCAATAGGTGATTTTGATCTTTTTATGGTCAAACTGGATTTTATCCTTAACTCTCTCCAGAAATCTAATGTTGAATTTATAATATGTGGGGATTTTAACATTGATTATTTGGAAAATAATAACAGAAAATCAAAACTAGAAGTTTTACTAAGTACCTATAATCTTAAAGATAGTGTCAAATTTCCTACAAGAATTACTAATACTTCGGCCTCGCTAATAGATAATATATTTATAGATAATAGACGTAGCTATAGCATTAAGCCATGTATAAATGGGCTATCGGACCACGATGCGCAGGTCATTACTTTCAAGAATGTTCCTGTGCCAAACAAAGTTCTGGGCTCTACCTTCATAAGAAGTATAAATAAGAACAATTGTGAAGAATTTAAAAAATTATTAAGTTGGGAAAACTGGGAAAACATCTTTGAAAATAATAATGTTAATATTATATTCAACAATTTCCATAATACGTACCTAAGATGTTTTTATACCTGCTTTCAAAAAAAAAAAGTTGAGCACAAGGATTATAACAAGAAATGGATTACACAGGGAATTAGGATATCATGCAGAAGAAAAAAAGAACTTTTAGTGCTAAGTAGACAGTGGGATGATCTAAACCTTAAAATATATTACAAACAATATTGTAAAGTATTATCAAAAGTGATTATTGCTGCAAAGAAATTACACTATAATAAACTTATCTCTAGATCCAATAATAAAATGAGAAGTACGTGGGAAATTATAAACGTGGAAAAAGGGAAAACAAAAAGGGGCAATTGTGTTCAATCTTTAATGATTGAAAACAAAGTAATAAGGAATCAGAACAAAATTGCAAATGCGTTTAATAAGTTTTTCATATCTATAGCTGATTCTACCATCCTAAATAAGAATGTATGTTCAAATCAGGAACTACCCACCCCAATTGACTACTTGATTGATTCATTTAACTTGCCAGTCAATAAGATGAAATGGCAATATGCCTCTACTCAAGAAATTACAAGAATTATTAAATCGTTAAAGACAAAAAATTCGACCGGATATGATGAAATTTCAAATAGAATCATAAAAGTAAGTCTGCCATTTATAGTCTCCCCTCTGACTTACATCTGTAATAAAATTCTCAGTACTGGGGTTTTCCCGGACAGACTGAAATATGCCACAGTTAAACCACTTTTTAAAAAAGGTGAAACTCAAAATATGGCCAATTACAGGCCCATATCACTGCTAACTTCCTTTTCTAAGATAATTGAGAAATTAATGTATGCAAGACTTATTAATCATATAGAGTCAAATAATATATTAGCACAGGAACAGTATGGTTTTAGGTCTCACTCCTCAACTGAACAGGCAGCTTTCTCGTTAATGAACAGTATCCTATCTGCAATGAATAATAAGTTAATGGTAGGAGGCTTATTCTGTGATCTACAGAAAGCATTTGACTGTGTCAACCACAAAATATTACTAGAAAAGTTAATATTTTATGGAATAGAAGGGAAATTTAAGTCACTTATAGAATCATATTTAATGGATAGATACCAAAGAGTTGTAATAGGAAACAAATTTGACAGTAGAAGCTTTTCCGAATGGGAGGTAATCAAATGTGGTGTACCTCAGGGATCTATCCTTGGCCCACTATTTTTTCTGTTTTACATTAATGACTTACCTTCAATAAGCAATAAGAAAAATAAAACAGTACTTTTTGCAGATGACACAAGTATTATAATAACTGACGTAAATAAATTAGAACTTGAAATTAATCTCAAACAAACTTTAAAAGATATTGACACATGGTTTAATGCTAATTTACTTGCTTTAAATTTTAAAAAATCTCAATATATTGAATTTCGTTCCAAGAATTGTTATAATATTACCCCAATGACCATAGATGATGAAATAAAATTACCAAAGGTGAAAGAAACTAAATTTCTAGGACTAATTATTGATGATACCATCACCTGGAAACAGCATATTAACTATGTTATCAATAAAATTGCAAGGTCATGTTATGCGTTGAGAAACATAAAGCATTTTATCCCATTAGATACATTAAAGGTAATTTATTTTGCACACATTCACTCCATTTTAAGATACGGCATAATTTTCTGGGGTAACACTTCCTATGCAAGCAATGTCTTTAGACTACAAAAGAAGGCTATGAGAATTATTGCAAATTTTGGTCCAAGAGAATCATGTAGACATCTATTTGAAAAATTTGAAATACTGTCATTCTATTCCCAGTTCATATACTCATTGATTTTATTCACGATTAATAATGATCATCTTTTTAATGCTATTACCATGATTCATGAACATAAAACCCGAATCCATAATAATCTATATTTGCCTTCTGTGAACCTGACAAAGTATAGTCAGAGTGCATATGTAGCGGGTATTAAAGCCTTCAATCATTTACCTCAAAATTTAAAAGAGTTGACTTTGGATGTACCAAATTTTAAGAGAGCACTAAAGAGATTTTTACTTCATCACTCCTTTTATTCCATGAAAGAATACTACCAGCAGAAATGGGTATAATGTGTAATGTAAGAGAACACACAGATTGTGACAACAAATGAACTGATATAGAAATATGTCATAAACTACAAATTATGTAATTATCCTGTTTTATTTGTCTCTTTTTTTATTGATTGTCTCTTTTATATGCATTTTAATTTGACGCACTTGATTAATGGAAGGAGTAATGAATGAATGTCTTAATGGAAATTTTATTTTATTTTAGTCCATTATAAATCTTGATAAATTTCTTGATCATTGTTTAATGTGTATTATAAGTATTATAAGTTTACCTCATTTAATTGCAATATTACTGTATTATTGTATAGCTACTATGTATTCTAACTTGACTTGTTCCATATCCTATGGTGTCTCACCTGTACTGGATTTACGGAATGTAAATAAATTCAATTCAATTCAATTCAATTCAGTAGCTGGACTGAGGTATCTATGGCACTGTGTATCAGGAACATGGAAGATGGGCAAGTAGATTTATTTCTGAAGTTTGAATTTTCAAACTTTAAAACGGACAAGGAAATTATATGTAGTTGAGCCTTCAGTCTGAGTTTGGGTGATAAAAATGAGATTACCCCAGCAAAGTTGTAAGCTGCAAATAGTATTTCCACGCTGTTTCACTCAAATTCCAAGTGTCTGCCAGTATTTAAAGTGTTAAATAAAACTGATCTTCTACATAGTCAGAAAAAGGGGAAACTTTCAAAATGTATAATGTTTCATAACTGATATTCTGAGAAATCTGCCCCAGATCTAGTTGGTCTCAGTAGTTCCTGCTGCCTTAGCTTGTACTTGGCCATGGTTTGATCAATGATGTATTAAATTTCATATTTTTTCTCACTTACTCATACAAAACATCTTCAGCATTCTTCATGTTCTGAAAATACTCATGGGTGTCTGAATTATTGACAACCGTGTAGTTGATACGTGACTGCCTTGCCAGCTGCTCCAATGATGCAACAGGCGACTAAAAATTGAAAAATTAATAAAGTAAAGTGTTAAAGTGATCATTCAGTGACTGTTAATTATACAGACATGTGAAGAAAATCCTGTTCCTTATGGCATACAGTAGTGTAACTCTCAGAACGTGAAAGCTGCTCACAAAAGGAGACTGTATAATCAGACCTATTGCATGAAATGAATTTGATCTTTTCCATGCTATTCAGCGCTCCCCCCCCTTTTCACAGTACCTCATTATCTTAAATTTACCATTTAGTTGTATGCTGCTTACTTACTCAGAATAAGGTTAATACAGTGTAAAGTAGACTTTGAAAACAAATACTATTAGATATACCATTCCAACAAAACTCACATTACATGTATATTCCTTCTAGAATGATATGGAATTAATCTGTGTTAAGGATAATCTGGTATAATTAACTTCTAGAAATGCGTAAGAGTGTAATTTAAAAGACATCTCATTGACTAGTACTAGACAGAATCACATACTGTACTATTTTTTACAGAAACAAGAAATTCAGATATGTTGAAATTATGCAGTTCTCTCCAAACTCACACCTAAGTTTAAAAAAGAAAAATTTTGTAACTGACAGGACATTAAGGTTGTACAGGATAATTTAACTTAAACAGTACAATAAAATAATCATGAAATTCAAGTCCACCATTTCCTGTCCTGTAGCATGTCCCTGAAATATAAATATTTTCCCTTCCCAGTATGTGTGTACAAATAATGTATGTGCTGGATACTATGTACAGGTGCACTCTGAAAAAGAGCCAGAAGTGAAATAACAGACATTTTATTGCTTCATATCCCATATGAGTTTACATAATTGGTTTGTGAATTTACCTTCATCCTTTCAACTGTGAGAAAAGCAGCCAAGTTTGCAGTGAAGGTTGCAAGCATGAGAACTACAAACAGCCAATAGGCTGCTACAAGTGTGCGTCCAGACAGGGCTTTGGGCGCTTCGCCGCCACCTTGTGGCGTAAAAGATGTTAGTGCAAACCAGAAGCTTTCCTTCAGCGTGAATTCCCTATAGCAAAATATAGCAGAAATATTATGAACAATATTTTGTGCTGGATTTTAGAGAGAATAGTAATTCAGTGCTTGCACACTGTGGCATGAGGATAAATGTGAACAGGAACAGAAAATTAAAAGTTTTGGAATGGTACCAAATAAAATTTAAAACTGATGGTAGTTATATGTGTGTGTGTGTCTATACATATACTATATATACAGGGTGCCCCAGGAGGAATGGACCAAACTTCGGGAGGGTGTTTCTTATGTTAATGTATGCCAATATAACCCAAAACATGTCCAAAGTTGAACGGTTACGGAGATAATGGCCAGAGAAGTGTCAAACTTTGACCGGTGTTACACACTTGTTGATTACAAAATACATATTAAAACTAGCAGGAATATGTCGATTCTGTAATGTTAATAATGTACGTAACATCAAACTAACTTGTGAGTGACGTGAAGCCATAAAATTGAAGTACAAAATACTCGCTCGCCATGTCATAATTGTCCTTAGGGTTTCCAAGCACTATACATGACACATGACTGGCCAACGCTGACGTAACGTGGCTGACTGTGCTATAAGCTGACCACATAACTGTATTAAACGTACATTCACGGAAAATCTCTTTTGAATTTCGTTTCCATTATCTCATGTGGATTATTATGGAACCACGTATGCACATTTTGTAAATTATTTAC